TTCCTATGACTATTTGAAATATCAAAAAAGTACTAAAATTAAATTATGAACCTCAAATGAATCAATAACTTTGCATTCATAGGGCCTAATGGTATGGAGAAATCACGATTCCCTGTTTCCATGGAAACATCACAATTTTCATTTGTTCTTCGTCAGTGATTTGATATACAGTATTTTCAGTCAATCAGCCACACCCATCCTTAAAACCTGCCATCATGAAGTTTTCACTTTTTCCATTTTGAACCAAATTTATCAGCTGTAGTGTACTAAAGAGAATTCACAATGAACACTTACACAGACGAGGTGCAGCAGAAACACTAAGATGCAAGGTAATGTATCTGTTATCACACACAGTGTTTTACTCTTCACGTTCAACAACAACGCACTATGATACCACAGTGATTTCACACACAGACATTTCCAACAAATCATAAAACAATTGCACGTAAATTGAGCCCGCCAACTATGAGACGAAACTTCTTTCAATGCTTATGGTAGGAGTTGTAAACTGCAGGATAAATTGCACAGGGAGAAATATACATAGTGACTGGTAGGTTAATAAAGTTTACAAATTAATATAAATGGTTTAATAATTTTACTGACCTGATAGTTTTAAAAAGGTTAATTTTGCTTTAACTTTTTTTTTCTAAGCAAATATCAATGTTTAATTAACTGACTGACTGTTTGTCTATCAAGACTTTTACTTGAATGGTGTGGATAATTAAAGCATCGTCAGTGACACTGTTCTTAGCAGTTCGTCCAAGAATTGAGGATTAAGGTAGTGACAGGATGGATAAAAATAAATATGTTGTAAATTTCACTGTCAGAAATGATTTTATGTAATGAAGTGTATGTTAAATAAGGCAATTACCATGGCAACATTTATGTTTTCAGAAAGCTTAGACGCGAGATAACAATGAATATAAACTGTGTCATATTTTCTGGGAAATGTTTTTCGAGCTGTGAGGGATTTTGTAATTAAGTTATTATCATTGCTGCAGGCAGTGTCTAAGATTTCTATCCATTTCCTAATGAAGGTTAAATAGAAACAAATCCAAATAAGATAGAAACATTTTTTTAAACTCAATCTTCCAGTGAAAAATCTCTCAACTTTCTGAAAATACATATCCAGTAATATAAGTAATAAATAATCACCCAGCCTGAGGATAATACAAGATATTGTACAAAAACACAAAACAAGACTCGTTGAGTTTGTATGTAGTATTTTCATGTAATATCTTGTGATACACCAGGATAAATTAAATTATTGCTTTTTATATTGACACTATATCAAATTTGCTCATGTCAGGTTTCATAAGTGTTCATGCATTGTTTTGTTTTTTTCAATTCTGAGAGTGGTATACATTTTGTATTGTGAATATATATGCATCACAAGTCTGTGCACTCAACCATGTGACATCACAGTATAACATATTTACAATATTTTAATATGTATATTCAGTCCTGTCACTACCTTAATATGACTTGTGAATGCCATAGGCATTCTGTTAAGGAATAGCATGATCTGATTTTGAAAACAAATAATAGTTTTGTACTAGTGTATTGGGATCAAACTTGGACCATAAGAGTTGAACGTAAAAAAAATCCACAAATCTCATTTAAACGATGACAGATGCTAAAATTATCATTTTTTTTTACCAAGTAGTCAGTAAGACCCTTCAGATTGTAAAGTTCCGGCACATCAAAACAAACCACAGCATAATGCATTTGGAGTGTCTTTACTGATAATAGCACTTTTACAGCTGGTATGCTGGAGCTACAACCAAATCGGCATAAAACGTAATCTTCGTTGCCAATATCTGCAAGAAAAAAAACATGAACAAACACATTAAAAATGTTATCAAGAATTACTTAATACATGTTGTATACAACAAAATTAAGGGAGATAATCACGATGTTATACTACAGCAACACCTGTCTAAGGGGTCAATTTCTATAACATATACAACAAGTAAACCTCTTTGAAAATTTGGACCAAGACCTAAAGGCAATGAGAAATCATATCCTTAAATTAAAGATACTACTACATTACCACACATTAACCGAAAATTGCTATTTATTATAGGATCATTTTGACTTTATTTTGTCATTTAGGTTGAGAGCAGACAGTATGGAGAAATAAATAAAAATGTACAAATATTTTACACATTTTGCAGCTGGATTAATGTACATATGCTTTTATTTATTCAAAGAAAATTGTCAAGGGTGCTTAATTTACATACACTTTTTTTCATATTTGTGTATTTAGTAAGCAGTTTATGAAGACCAAATAGACCTACATCACCACACTGTTAATCATTTAGTATTTCTAAAGGCAGCCATATTATACATTATGTAAATGTACGTTATTTTACTGATGCTGATTGACTTTTTGGGTGTTTTGTATGGAATTTATTTTCACCGATTTTTGACAAGTTGAATGTAAAATATAGGAAAGAGTATATTCGCTGGATATATTTGCTGAATTATTCCTTCATCAAAAATTAAATTCAAGTGAAAATAAAGTATTTTACAGTGGCTGTAAACCAATAATCTTAACACCACAAAAAAATAAATAAAGCCCCATCACCGACAGAATCAGAATGTATTGTACATATATTTTGTTAATATTTCTATCATGATTGCTATAGAGGAGATTCAGGAAAATGAGTACTGCACACATCAAAATTGTCTTTAATTAGTATTTTAGACTGTGTCTAACATGTGAAAATCCATATCAGTCACGTTTTTTACATGTTGAATAAAACATCAATTCCAAGTGCTCCATAGTTCTTGCATGATGCATGCCTTAAAAACATAAAACTGCTCTCTCCACTACAACATATGCAAATTTGCTGAGAAAGAGGAATCGATGCAAGAGACAATCAGACAATAATATTTGAATTTCAAAATTGACAGCACTGCTACATCTGGCATCTTTTTAATTTTTTTTTTTTGTGGTGAAAAATGGACAATTAAAATGAAACTTAATTACTTGCTACAAATGTAGTCAATTTCTAAGAATTAATTCAAATAATTAATTTATACATGTATTTGTTGACAGCCTGCTGGTACTGCCCCCCCCCCCCCCCCAATTCATTTCTGCTATCTATTTTCAGCAGGTTATGTTACACACAACTTCTTTTAATGGTTGCTATATGGTATCATATTTGTAGAAATGTGTAAGCCAAGTTTGGTTTGATTTACCAGTTTTACACAGATTTTACAGTAAATAATGCAAATGCAGATCTAAGACATTGCAGAATTTTATAATAAGTTTATTACATGTAAATCACTTAATTTTCACATTGTAGGTATATTCTAATTATTTTGTCTTTTTGAGAACAAACGTTTTGTGAAAGTCACTGACAACGTTTGAATACCCCTGAACATTTTCAGTGTGCTATGAAATTTCATGATTTTCACTGACGAGTCGAAATTCATTAACATTTGTCTCTCAAAATGGAAGAACATTGAGCACCTACAAGTTTGCATTCAGACAGTACTATGGCTGCATTGAATTGCAAAACATGTTAGTCTACACATACAGCTATGTCTGAATACAGATTTGTGATACAGTATTTACAGAGTAAAGCAACACTAGTCTGTTCTGCACAAGTGCGAATTCCTCTGCTCTGTTGTTCTGTTCTTTGATTGGCCTTTAGTGCATGCATGCTCACAGTTGTAGCTATATTACTTTATTGTCACAAAAAACTATGACCAAGCAGACACAATTTTTATAATTTTTGAGCATTTTATAGAAGGAACCTTTTGTTCAAGAAAAAAATCAAGTATTTATTAGTGTTTTAAGTTTTCTGTATTACTTATTAGCTATGTGATGTCTATCCTCAAGTACTTTTTATTCAAGTAAACGAAGAATTGTATATTAATTTGCATTTAAAATGTCAGAATTATACTATATTTTTGTATTCAGGATACAGAAACAGAAATTGCATGCAGAGTAATTACCATCCTTTTTATTTTGAGATAACATTTGCATACTAAGATCCCTTTGCAGCATGAAAACAACAAAGTCCTTTACAACTCCCTGGTTAAAATAAATTCAATATATTAATGCACTTGTCAAAAGAAAAGGGTACATGTAGACTTGTAGAAGCGTAATCCACTCCAGGATGAATGCGCAAAAGGGTAATTCACTTCACGCTATGACAAACTTATAAGACATGGTACTTCTACAAATCTTCAGACTTCAGGGAAAACAACTTCCGTAAGTCTGAAATGCTGAATAATTCCCACATAAATTTATCTGCTATGTGTATGACAGGAGAAAGAACTAAATTTTCATCATCATTTTAAATTTTCATCATCATGTTAGTGTTCTGTGTAAAAGGGCAGGTGCCCAATTGAAAGTTTTGCAAAGAATGTCTGGTTATTTAGATCAAGCCTCAAGACTATGTATATTTAGATATTTTATTTTATCACATTTTACTTATTGTTCTTTAGTTTGGAATTTTTGTGGTAAAGTAAACATTGCTAAGATGGAGCGTATTCAATACAGAGCTCTGAAATTTGTGTACAATTATTTTCAATCCAGCTATCAAACTTTATTAGAACGTGCTGGTCTAAAAGCACTAGAGATGTCAAGGAATCATGACATAATTGTTGAAGTTTATAAAAGTGTGTACAAACTCTCCCCATCTCTTATGTGGCATTTATACAAGGAGAAAAATGTAATGTACAATTTTAAAAAATTCTCAACAATTACAGTTAAAGCGACCAAGGACAAAACGCTATGGACTGGAGTCATTGTCTTATTACGGTGCTAAAATGTGGAACTCGCTTCCTAACCAAATGAAGGAGTGCAATGATTTGTATTCTTTTAAGCAAATGGTGTCATTGTGGTCACCATCATTTTAGGATATTTTAATTATTTAAACAATTAATTATTTGTGAAGTCTTACTGTTGTTTTTCTCTATATTTGATGTTTGTAATTTTTGCTTTTGTTTGATGTAATTTTTAGTAGTCAGTGATATTATCCATTGGCTAGGTATTTCAAACTGACTTTAAAATAAATGAATTGAATTGAACTCGTCGCAACTTTTGTTTTCATCCTGTTTTCAACTTCCTAAAGTCTCTAAATATTGTTTGAGCATTGTGTTTCTAACAATAGACCTTTCGTTGATGGAAAATAGAAATGTCAACCCCTTGAACACTATCGTTCTTCCTGCAATGATTTTAGTGAACACATTTTTTTTCTCTAATTAATTTATTTTTCTAATTTTGGACCAAATGAACATAATATCCTATCAGCTAATAACAATTTTTATTTGTTTTTATTGTGTGAAAGTTGACAAACATTGTACTTTGACACTCAAAGGGTTACATTTTTTGTAGATATATTTTGTAAATGTGAAGTTATACTTTACAAGATTGCGTCTGATTGGCTATCCAGCCCTAACACCTAACAGTCAGACCAATCAGAGAACGGTTTACTTGCTGACAGGTTTTTTTTTGACGTATCAAATTCTACCTAGCATATATATGCTTCAACTCAACTGACTAAATGTAAGCTACAGAAATTAGCATGAAGCTTTATTGTAGAAAACTGCAGCACCAGAACATGGTGAAGAATATGCAAATGACCCCCAAAGTCATTGATAAACAAATTTGAAGTTGACATTCCTCATACATGAAGTGTTGTATTTTAGGCTGTTTATATTACTATACTGTCCGGGCTGAGGAAGCACACGCCTGCCCAACAATAAATTAAGATAACTAAACTGTATGTATGAATATTACATAAAACATTGCAATCATTTCTTAGAGCTTGGCCTTGAAGTCTATCAATGAAAATAAGAAATTCTAATAAGGGCATGCAGGGCACAGTTGAGTTGCTACTTGTCATATCATGTTCTATCTGAGTCATCAATCAACCAATTGTTCCCATATGTTTATATGCCAACAAACAGCATTATTCTATCCCATTAATACATCTGCTTACTAACAGAAGAAATATATTTATTCCTTACAGTCGCTATTCAGCGGTGATCACAGTGACTGTTAACCAATGTGGTACATGTGTTTGCGAGAGTGATTAGGGAATGACTGAGAATACACAACAATTACTCTGAAGATAAATCCTAATAGAGTGAAACCTGTCTAAACTACGTAAACTGGAAACCTGTCAATCTGCCAATTCTTTCAAGAGCTCCACCTAGTACAAGTTTTGATCTGAAACGCCTTGTCACAAATATCTAAGATGAATAGAAACATTTCTCCTGTACACTTTAGCGCTTAGCATACATGTATGTGACAGTTAGAGACATTGAATGTTTCTGTTGATGTTCCTGACTTTTCTATGCGTAAATTACAAATGCTGATGTCACACATTGCATTTTGCCAGAGCAATTCTTGCTGTTACCTAATTGTGTCAATTTTATGCACTATACCAGTATTAAACCAGAACCGGTCAAGTCTACTTTCAGACTGTTGGGATACAGTCAAAAGAACTCCATGGGCATGCCTGTGCTTTCTACTGTTATATTTGTTCTCTGGTTGGTCAGTACCTACATTGCAATACTGCAAACGGTTCAGTGTGCTAAAACATTGCTTCCTTGAACTATGGCCAAATCTAACGCATTAAATTATTCACATTTACGAGAGCTTGCCTACCATATATATTAAAACGTGCATCATGCTTTTACCAGCTATCTGAAAAGTATGACAATAATGAGTTTATTCACAGCATGTTGAAAGATGGTCATGTATACCTGATTCTCAATTTATAATGTATGGCAGGAAAATATTAACTGGGTTTAATTTTAGCTGATTTGAAGTTGACGGGATTATTTCAAATTCACTGGTTGTGAAGGAAACAATACATTCTGTTTTTAACTTAACGTTTTCACTGGGTTTTATTAATGTAACGCATTTAGATAGGAAAGTGTAAATTTTATGTTATATGATGATTAATGATGTATTATGATAAATGTATGCACGGAGCAAGGATGTGCACACGTCCCAGATGTTGTAGCCATTGCGTCAACAGTATGTTGTGTATTTTCTCGCCACGTCACTTAGTTGATTTTTACAATGGTAGTTGCACTCAATGGTTGAAAACTCAGTTTAGTGGTTTCTGCAGCAAGACTGAGAGACTGATAGACAGTGGAGTGAATGGATCAAAATGGATATCTGTCTCGTGGTATAAAAAATGTTCTAGAGGCACAAAACAAAATGTCAGCCATGAGACATTCTGAAACCAAATTTCACGACTTGTAATTTACCAATTATTTACCCACAGACTGTCTACACCATGATTCGCTAAATTTAATATATTATTTTTTTCTGCTTGCTATCCATTTTTGATTGCATCAAAGAAAGAGAAGCCCTGGTCATCAATAGCAATAACTCCGATGACATGCATCATATTTCTGATTTGTAAATGAAATACTAGCAACCTACACTATGAATGGCAGCCTAGTAAAGAACATTTATTTCTCTGCAAACTACAATAACATTTGGTTCTTGAAATCAAATAGTCTCTGAATATCAATGCAGCCTTGAAAATCGAGAAACCAATTACAATTTTCTGAAGCCAGAAAATCACAATAATATGCTATTTAAATCTGCCTATATGAATAGTACAGAAAATGCTTCTGCATGGCAGTATTGAGGCAATTCAACAAACTGAATTTTAAATTATAACTACATTTGTATCGCCATGGAATATTCTAGTTCTTTGGATGGTGAAATTGTAGACATTTTTATTTCCCTAGTAGATTACTGTTTATTTTCGCTTGTAATTAATTTTCGCTATTTTCACTGAAGGAAAGATTCAGTGAAAATAAAATCTAGCAAATATACCTTTTCTCCTATATTTTACATTCAACTCACAAATATCAGTGAAAATAAATTCCATACAAAATACCCAAAAGTCTTTTTAGCGAAAATTAATTCCAGCTAAAATAAAATATTTTACAGTAGTAAAAATGAGCACAAACGAGGCTACCGGTATATATAAACTCAGAAGTTACCACTCATTTTTAACGACATATTTGGGAATTCCAAAATCATGAAATTACAAAACAGTGACAGTTTTTCCTCTTTAAAGTTTAGGGTATAAAGCATTAGTTATTCACATGGTTCTTATTTGGTGATAATCAGTGAAATTCATTAAATTAAAATCATGTGAAAACAACGCGAGTGATTAAGGAAGCTACATTATTCTCTTCACTTTTTTTTTTCACTCGTCTATGTTTTGCAATAATTAATCAAAGTGAATACGTAAAAATTAAGAGATAATTATAATATTAATGTGATACGAATTGATGCCATTTTCATCGACTCCCAGAATTAAATTTGTCTTGCTTGGAACAAGAGCAAGTGTCTTCCATTTTAATGTGGAATGAATTTTTACAATCGTAAAACTATTACAGTGATAAAACAGTGATATTAAAATAAAGGCTTTTACAGAATAACCGTATATTTTAACGCTATATTTGAATTGGTATAAGGATAAGGATGAAACATCATAAACCTCCAGAGTCAGTCAGTCAGTCACTACAGATGGTCATCACAGCTTCTAATGAAACAATTTTATGAGACTACATTATGTTTGAGTACATGATATATGAAATTGTGAATCCCCTCCTTTCCCATCAACATGAAAAAACCATGAACTGAATATACTGAAATGTAAAACCACCAGCAGATTGCCCATTTTAACTCTGAGAAATGGTTAATTACTGTTTAGCAGGAATTCTAGAGTAACATGTACAGAGGATTGATTGTTACTGGAAACCTTCACTGGTAAAATATGCAGGGAATGTATAGTCAATGGCATCTATAAGTCATCTGAGCCTAGATTGCCCAAATAAAAACACACACATTGACCATGTAGTGACAGATTATTCTAAACGCTGTAGAAACAGAACCCTGCTAAATCGTTTACATCTCACTATTTTTAAGTCCTAAAATTTGTTTTAAAAAATGTCTCGTCAAAATGCTATGATATGGACTTTGTGAAGCATAATGTGAATTTTGTGTTGGAATATGTTTATACTGGTAGTATTTACAATCTGAACCCCAAAGATTATCACTAAGCAAACAATTGTTCTCTAGTCTTGATTATTAAAAGTGTTAAGTTTTCGGGGTAAAAATGTTGCAAAATGTTCAATAAGTGGAGTTCTCAAAAAGAAATTCTGGACTCTCAGTGATATGCTTGAATGCTATAAAATTTTGCAATTTCCCTTGACTCCTGTTTATTCACAAAAAAATGTCTAACGAAATTGAAATAGTTTCCCTCCTTCTGTTCATGGAATGAATTTCCACAGAATCTTTTCAATCCAATTTAATTGTACCTTTAAATTAACTATCCTACGGGCATTAATCGTACTAATTAATATAATGAATAATGCTTTGTTATCGAATGTATTGTTCTCAACAAATTACAGCATCATATGTGAATGGGAAGTTTTCACAACAGATGATCCAGTGTAACAAAGAGCAACGAACTATTGTTGTTTTTTCAACAGGCTCATGTCTGAGTCGTTCATTATGATTCATTTCCTGTTTGTCATAAAATTGTACAAATTTACGCTAAAAATGACGATCAATCATTTCCTCTAGAATCGGTATATTCTATTTCAAATTTTGTGTTCGTGGAATATTACACTGTGCATCGTCACACAAACTCGATATTATCTGAAACACATTATTACATTAAGGCAAAATTGCTATCATAAAAACCTTGGTTTTAATTTTTTATTTCAGAGTGAAATGTTTCTTCTAAAGTGTAAAAGCTTTTTCCCGACATTGCTTGTACTTTGAAAATTCAACAATCTTCCAATATAAATGCTGAATAATTTACAATAACATGAATAATAAAATGCGGTTAATTTTTTGTTGTATTTAGTTGAGTTGAATTTTCAGCTGAAATTGTTTCATCTACAAAAGCATTCTTTTAAACATAATATCGTCATTATTTTTTATTCATTTAGTTTAAAAAAACAAGAAATTTTTTTTGAATGGACATTAAAAAGTTATTGATGCTATTCTTCACACTCAGTTGTGAAATGTATTCATACACAAATGGTGTCATCAGAATATACCACTATGGCAGCCATTTTGTAAAATTTCAACTCCTTTGAATTTATCACTGAAAATCAGCATAATTTTGACTAAAAGCATGACCTCACACTTCCTCAATTTCACCTGATGCCATTGATGGACAGATTTTGTTTTTTCAGTTGAGAAATTTTGTGTTTTTGGTGACAACAGGCAGAATTCTTTCACCTTGCTCTGATCTATTTATAGCGCAAACATAATACCTCTCTAACTGCTCTGCATATGTAATCAGGCTGGCGCTCATTTAAATATCTATAGGCAAAAAAAACATTTTCCCAATTACATTGAAATAATGGGCTTAAAAATACAAATGAATTACTTCAACATAAAGGCTGTAGTGCTCTTATAAATTCTCAGCTGAAAATAAAAACTAGAATCTGACGTGTTTTAAATTTGACATGAATGTGAAGTGGTGAAGACAGTGTACAGTGTTTGTTTGATAGTCAGCTTTGCCCTACTTACCAAGAGAATTTCCAATTATTTTTCACTCTCAGTGCTGATATCAAATGAATAAGCAAGCGAATCAAATTCATGGAAACAGAGAATCTTTGTACTGTCAAGCAAGTTGTACATGTTGTGTGTGTGTGTGAATCAGTGTTTTAATTTAACATTACAATGATGTGAATGAAAAATGGCTGCCATTGCTCCTTCTATGTTGTGTTTTACTAAGATGGGGTTTTCACAGGTTCCTTTTATACTTACTAGTAATTTAAATTGGACATCTTGACATTTAGGATACTTCAAACATGGTGTTCAGTTGCTTCACTTCTCGTGATAAATCTTTGCAAGCCTGAGACGCTTCTTTAATGGCCTCTCTATATGGGCCCCTTTTCTTTTTCTTATGTCTCTTCTGGAAGCTATCCAGATAGGGGTGTAGTTGTGCGCAGGACATAGACGATGTTGTGGAGGATGCAAACCATGCAATTCTGGCTTCCTGATTAAAAACTGTTCCAGTATCATTTCTGCTAACAGTTATAGAGATGACCCTGCCAGGCCACCAGGGAAAACCTTGTATTTTTCCCCACACAATATCCCCAACACAAGTTGTTTTCCCAGTCTCTGTGGTGCACTTTGTAACATTCTTTTTATGAATTCGCACTGTTAGTGCCGGCCGCGGTTTATTTTCCTGTTCAAGACCCTGCTCTACATTTTTCTCTGAGCAGGGTACCACAGCAAAATCGTAGTGATCAGTACCGATACTACTTCTAACTGATGGAGATTGTGACGATGTCGCAGACTGGTCACTGGTACTACTAATCGAGATCACTGAATCTTCAGAGTTTTTGTTTCGTTGAGTTGGCAAACTAGCTAGCACATGTGACAAAGATTTCTTCTCCTTAACTTCTTTTGTTTTAAACTTTGAAGTCCTAAGAATTAGTCGGTTATTGCTAGTGTCAACATATGGCTTTGACATGGTGGTTCTTGCTTCTGCTAGCCTATCTGATGATACCATTGACTCTGAATCTGAGTCTTCAAAGTCATAAGGTACATACGGCTGGCGTACTATTGGTGTATTATGAGTTTTGTCAACAACATCATTTTTTGATTTATGCTTAGTTTCCTTCCCTGTAGACATTGTTCGTGGCATACAATTTTGCAATTTCACATGAACTCCGTTCATCAACGAAGGCGTTGATCTCTTCAACTGAAACGTGTCATTTGTCTTTTTTAGTGCTTTCTTGTGATTATTATGATTTAGTCTGGATGAATTACTAGGTTTGATAGTTGTGTGTGTTCTGGGTGGAATTTTAATCACCCTTCCTTTACCATGTGGCGTAGCAAAAGAGATCTTGATCAAAGGACTAGTTTTAGTTATTGTCTGCGTTTCTACTTTGTTTTCTCTCCTTTTCATTTTCATGCGTTTAGTATCTTTTGGTTTACCATTTGTTGCTACGGCTTTCCTCTTTCTTACTTGAACTTTTGGTGTGTTGGTTTGTGTGGTATTATAGGTTGCAGGTTTGGCAGCAGTCTTGCAAGTTCTGGGTCCAACCACACTGTTTGGGTTGACAGCTCCTTTGCATTTGGAGCACAGTGCCTGTCTTGGCCTGAGTCTAATATGCCTAGTTCTTTGGTATTTATTTTTTATATCCTTTGATGGGATCTTGTTAGGTTTCAAAATAGGCCTGGGTGCAGGAATTGGTAAGTTCTGACCATACGTCTGTCGAAAACTAATAGCAGAGTGTTCCCAGCGTTTTCCATTTTCTGACGGATTATTGTCTATTTGTACTGTTTGGCCAAGATTTTGCCTGTCAGTTTCAAAATTCATTTCGGCTTTTAAAGACGATAACTTCCCCGATGGGATGCCAAATGGTCCATCCCTGAAACAATAACAAATCAAAGACAATGCTTATCTATCTAGAAGTTCAATAACACAGAGAATCTTCCAGTTGGACAAAGGGCAACTAAGAGAATCAAACTTCATTCGTTTCGATTTACTCATGTACAAGTGAAGTTTTGACGAATAAAAACAAGCTTACCTTTTCGATGTGTCCAACAAGACACCTCGAAAAATACGACGTCCGTGATGGAAGGATACAACAAGAAGGTCTTCGAGGGCTTCTTCAATCTGGACACCCACTTCTACACCTTTTTTCACGCCTTCCATCATGGCACTGGACGCCATTTTATATTTAAACCCCAGCATGCAAGCAACAACAGTCAGAAAGCATCGGCCCTGAAGGTCGATTATGCGCATGCGTAGTTTAATTCGTTGTGGATGGTTTTTAAATTTAAAACTTGAGTTACGTTCAGTTCAAGTTTTTGATTGTGGAAATAGTCGTATTAACCATAAACCTCTATAGATGTATTACCGTACAGAGAATATTTTTATTATTCATTGAGCATATATGTTTATACCGATAAAAGTCATATTTATACATTTTTTTTTTCATTTGACTGGTTGCTTAAAAATTGTTAATGTGATTCGATAGTTTCAAAGCACAATGTATTTATTTATTTATTTATTTATTTATTTATTTATTTATTTATTTATTTATTTATTTATTTATTTATTTATTTATTTATTTATTTATTTATTAAAAAGATGGAAAAGACAATGCACCATAAAGAAAAATTGTCAATGACAGCTGAATTAAGTGTTTCACAATTTAGAAATAAGCTGTACATATGCACCGCCCTGTAAACTAAATAGGTAAACATACATTATAGCACAGTCCCTCCACAAAGGGGGGGGGGGCTGTGATTATATCTGTGGTTTTTCTGTTGGAGGGTGGTTGGGAAAAGAAAAGGATTTTATATAAACAGCATTACTTCAAAATAATGAAAAAAAACACAACTTTTACAAATACTGTCTACTAGCCTGATCACTTTGGTATTTGCCAGCTCCACTCTTCTTGTAGTCATTCTTACAACAAATACTGAGAATTGAAACAAAATAATTTTTGCACCTTGTTTTTTCTTTTCAGACTTTCAATTGGTCAATTATACACAAGGTTTTGTAAATCAGCAGATGAATTACATGATGTAATCTAGTGTACAAAATATGATATTGAGAGAGTAATTATTTTAAGCAAAATGCAATTTGTGAACCTCAGTGACATTGATAAATTTTTATTTATTTTCAAATTAGATAATAAATGATCTTTAATTAATTTTATAGCTAAAACTCAAAGGGAAAAGTGATTCAGGTACTACGTAATTTGTATATTCACCCCCCCCCCTCCAGCTGCATTTTCAACTACTAGTATTTTGTTTTGTAGTTTTGCTATAATTTACTTGCAATTGTGTGTTGTTAGACAACAAAGTTGAATTGAATTGAATTCAAATATTTTAATCATTCAACATAAATCGCTTTCAGTTTTTTCTGTTCAATATAAATTCTATTTTGAAATTAAAAAAAAAATATTGTTTTTTTTTTATAAAACAAAAGGCTTTCCGTGACAATTATAAAAAGTACCCCCCCCCTCGTTCATCTTTTTTCAATCATTATGAAATGAAGGATACAATATAAAACGTATTTGTTAGTAGCGCACCATCTTAAAATTTCTAAAGTAAATAAAGCATTCCTTATATCTCAAACACTGAATTTGGTGACGTCATAACAAGCACCCTCAGGTGGCTAGTGGTTTATATAAAAAAAATAACCCCACTGTACTGTTTAGTCAAGTCGTGTTGTTGGTTTTATGTTGACACATATGACATTTTCCTTAAATAATTACATAAATTTGATGCTGTAAATAGTTGATTGTGCATATTCGAAAATATTGTTTAATTACAAACTCTAATTTTTTATGGTAAGTTAGGGAAGCTTCTTACCAACACCGAGTGACGTTTTACACACAGCAACAACAAATCGTTGGAGTTCGTATTTTGGTTTCTTGCTTGACAAGTATTTTGTGGTGTTATTTCGATTTTTGGACTGCCTTTCGATAACACTCCACCATGACGCAACAAGGAGCTGCGCTTCAAAGTTATAATAATGAACTAGTAAAGTGTAAGTATGACAAATCGTTTCGAGTGAGTACAGAACAAATTTGAAAATTAATTACAGTATTGTTTATGTACCATCAACGACATCATTCATCAATTCAAATGTAACACGCGCATAAATGAATTACCGGTAGTACGTTGATTTATTCTTATTCTTGTATACTATGGTTGTCATTTCAAACCGCGATTTTTACCAAAAAATCACCTCGCATGCGTATTGTGTGCGTGCCCCAACGTGTTTCTCTGATAGTCACAGACAAGTCAAATTCCAAACACAGTTTACCTGGACTGCTCTTTTAAAAATATGTTTCAGGAACTGATTTTGGAAAAGAGTTCATTAAGGCCCCCTCACGTCTAACCTGAACCTAATCCTAACCCTAACACTCCATACCCCTAATGTAATTCAATTTGTAAATAATTACAAGTGACCCAATACAATTGAAATGGAGGGGCAGGGTTAGGATTAGAGGTGTTGATGAGGGGCCTGAAGGAACTCCTACCCTGATTTAGTTACACTGAGTTTAGTTACTGTAACATTATAACAACTATCGTATTATGTTGTTAACTTGTTTATTGTATTAACTGTATTAACCTCCCTGTTATTGAGGAGAACATTGACTGGTTTTGTGGGGATCCTGAGTCAAAATAGAACCCCAAACATCAAGTCAGTTTGTTGACTGCTGGGGAGGTTGGTTTTCAGGAACAAAATAAAATTGTATGCAACTGTTAAGGTGACTTAAGGCACAAACAAATGTTGTGGCCCCTGATTTACTTCATACAACACTTAGTTCATAAAATCTTACATTTCACCAAAGTACTCATTCCATAACTATATAGTAAGATGTTTTTCAAAAACACATTACCAAGTCAAACAAGCTTGTAATTACTGAGAAGTGTCTTGTACATTGGTAGCACTGATCACATTAGCTTGAACAGTCTAAACTGTCCCGAACAACATAGTTTCACCCGTTGCAAAAGTACAGTGATTAACTTTCTTGAGCTGAAGCATTAATGCATGGTTTTCCCATGGATATTACATACTTGAAAGCTTTTGATTCTGTACCTCATTTTATTTCATCCAGTCGGACAAATTGCTTTATGACAAATGACAAAGTTATCCAAACAAATTAAAAATGAATATATACTGACATAGTTCCGGGGACGTAGTTGCTAGTGTGTGGCATGATGCTAGTAGTAGTGCACATTTAAGCAAAAGGCACACCAACTTAATATTAGTTAATTGACCAGTGACCAGTCTGGTCAGAAACAGCAGTGTTACTTTTTGGATGCATGAAACATTTAATAATAATATTTTATTGCATCTTTAAAAATAACATTTCTATCAGTGTACAGCAACAGGTTAAGATATAAAATAGTTTAAAATGAAAAACAGTCAGAAGTCAGCTTTCTGTAATAGAAACAATATGGCAGTCAGCCATGCTACACATGCTAAAACACTGGTTCTGGAAAATGTCACCATGGAAACAATGCAATTCTTACCTTCTTAGTGTCATCTTTATTTTATATGCATTGTATACATGTTGCTTAAAAACCATATAGAACACAATGACTGCAGCGTTTTAAAATGTAAAAATTTACTTCCAAGGGCATAAGGGGATAAGTTTTATAACCATTCTCACCTGTTTCATTCAAAATCATGAAATTCATGATTTTTCATAGTGTTATTGATAATTTCAATGGGAAATAGTTGGAAAGCAAAAGAAAAAAATTGAGGTCTTTGGCATACAGGAAAGACAGTTAAATAGAGGGGTGACAGTATTTACCAAAGTCCTATGCTTATACATGTAACTTTACCCATGTCTTGCATCATTCACAGGTATAGAAGACTTGTGTGCTAAAAGAGATGAACTTCACAAACAGATTCTATCAGAGGAGAGGAAAAACAAAAAGTCCAGAATGATTTAGGATTTTATCAGA